AAGATAAGATAAAATTCAGATTTTAATGCAAGAAAGTAAATAAGACTATAGATTTCACCAGGACTCGGTAAGTGAAACTCTCAATTAGAGTAGAACAATTAAGGGATAGAATTTGTACAAAATGTAGAAGGAAAGATGGGAAAAATCTTTTACATGGGTACATATCCTGTACAAGATATGTATAATAATTTCAGAAATTTAGCAGGGAATGACATAATTTTCATAGAACTGCATGGCATATGATTAGAGGGTGGAAAACAGGAGTCAGAAACCAACTTGGAGGATTTCCAGTGATGTAGATGAGAAATAAGAGATGTTTAAACTAAGGAAGAGACCATCTTTGAGAGATAATTAGGAGGAAGAATTAAGAATGTGAGACTTCAAAGAGCCTACCCTAGAACAATGGGTGGATAGTGGCTTCATTTACCAGGATAGAGAATGTGAGAAGTGAAAAAAAAAGACTTTGAGAAGACATTTAGATTTAGAAATTTTGCTTTGATATCTTTGTGAGACATTCAATTTAAAATGACCACCAGTCAATAGGAAAATCATGCCTGAACCTCAGTCAGTAAGTCTGGGAAGAGATATTCATAGTCCTGAGGTTTTTGTTGTACAAAAGAACCTGGAGATACTGTTCCATGTGGGAAGAGACTCATGGATTGAGCATTGGAAATTCCACATGTAATCAACTCGTCACATCTTTGTTATTAGTGTTTTAAAGAACTAAATATAGCACTAAAAATAGGTATATGCCAAGAACTTAGGAGCAGAAAAGGAAATTGAGTTGACCCTTGAACAATGCAGGGGTTGGAGCATTGACCTCTGCTTAGTCAAAAATCTACATGTAATTCATAGTTGGTCCTCTGAGTACACTGTCCCTCATCCTTGGATTCAGCCAGACTCAGGTTCTGTAGTACTGTAGTATTTACTTTGGAAAAAAGTCCATGTATAAGTGGACCTACACAGTTCAAACCTGTGTTGTTCAACTGTATTTTGTTTTGCAGTCTGTTCCGGTAAATTAGGGATGTTTTCCTTAATCTTGGAGGATGTCTTCTAAAAGAGAAAGAAGACTTAACCTATGTAGCTTCAAAGGCTTAATCCAGAAAAATGAAATAAGGAAAAACTGTCTAATAAATTGAACTGTGCCAAATAAGACAGTTTGGTTAGGCAGAAAAAACTTTCTAGACACTAAAGCTGTGCCTGACATACAGGCAACACACAGTAAACATTTGTTGAATGAATAAGACTGATCACTTTGCTGAGAGTTGTAAATAATGATGAAATATTGAATGAGGAGTTCCCTAAAATTGATTTCTGTCCAGTCTTATGTATCTAATATTTTACATTGAATAGTTCTTTGGTCCATTTCTTTGAGACCTTTAAATGTAAAGACTTATCTGAAGATAAGACTTCCCTTTAGATATAGCTCCATAAAATTAGCTTATCACCCTTTGCTGAGAAAATAGTATATATAAATGTGCTGGAGTCTACTTTGTCAAACATAATCTGTAAATCTAATAAGACATTTGCTCAGAACTATCACTTTGCCAATATCTTTACTTTGAACATGGTTGGCTTCCTAAATATTTTTTAAAGACTTTATTTTTTAGAGCAATTTTAGGTTTACAGTAAAATTGAGAGAAAAATACAGAGATTTTCCATTTACCCCCTGCCCTCACACACGCATAGCCTCCTCCATTATGAACACCACTCACCAGAACGGTGCATTTTTTTACCAAGGGTGAACCTACATTGACACATTATAATCACCCAGAGTCCATAATTACCTTAGGGTTCACTCTTGGTATTGTACATTCTATGCGTTTGGGCAAATGAATAATGACATACAGCTATCATTATAATATCATACTGCCCTGAAGATCCTCTGTGCCCTGATTGTTCATCTCTCACCCCTGCCTCACCCCTGGCAAACACTGATCATTTTACTGTCTCCATAGTTTTGCTTCTTTCAGAATGTCACATAGTTGGAATCATACAGTATGTAGCTGTCTCAGATTGGCTTCTTTTACTTAGATATAGGCATTTAAAGTTTCTCCATGTCTTTCCATGGCTTGATAGCTCATTTCTTTTTAGGGCTGAATACTATTTTATTGTCTGGATATAGCACAGATTATTTATTTACCTGTTGGAGGACAATCTTGGTTGCTTCTACATTCTGGCAGTCATAAATAACTGCTGTAAACATCTGTGTGCAGTTTTTTGTGTAGACATAAGTCTTCAATTCCTCTGAGTAAATACCAAGGAGTGTGAATGCTGGATCATGTGGGAGGAATGTTTAGTTTTGTAAGAAGCTGTCATACTGACTTCCAAAGTGGTTGTACCATTTTGCATTCCCACCAGCAGTAGAGGTTTTTATCAGTATTTTAAGATTTTGTTCTTCTTTCATTTAAGTTTCTCCTTTACTATTGTTGTATCCATGTAAAATTATAGTGATGAACATGGCTAAAACATTCATTAATTAGCCCATCTCCCTGGATTTGGGCAGAATAGTGATTAGATAATTTTGGATTAATGGGGTAATAAAAATATACATTACAGCAATTTTGTGACTTCTTACTTTTATAATTTGTCAGTTTTATGCACATTTAAAAGTGTGAAGTACATGGAAGCGTGTATTTTCTTTGCTTCATGACCTCATCTCTAACCTCTATGGTTTAATTTTGTTTTAAAAAGGTACTAGATTACTTCTATATACAACTTAAAACATATGTGTACAATATCTCCTAATATTAACCTGTATGTATCAATCAAAATTTGTTTCATTTTATCTTCCTTTTTTCTTACTGATGATCCAATGTATATTTTCTTATTTTACTTTTTATGAAAATGCATTCACATTTTAGATTCTATATATTTTTCTTTATTAAGTTTTCAACATCACTAAAATGCTTCTGAACTTGAATGGTGTTTATCATTCTCAAAAAACATGTTTCCTTGTATTCCACCTCTGGGATCTCTGAGAGCCAGTATTAATGTGTAAAACACATTTTTTTTTTATTGCTTTACAGAAACTTCTTTATCTTTAAAACATGGTACAACCTTATTATGCTTCCCTGATGCAATTAGGACAGAATATGTGAAAAATGTCAACACGAATAACAGTTGAATGTTTGGCAGTGAACATGTGCTATAGTCATTTTAGGGGCAAGTCTAAATTGGAAACTCTACTTAGATAAAGGTCAGCTTTCCTAAATAGATGAGTCAATGTAAAGAAGCAATAGCTTCTTCCATAATATTTATACTATAGTTAACATATGTAAGCTATTTTTTCTTTGAGTTCTATGTGAAACTTTGTAGTTCAATATCCTACCTAACATACTAATGGAAAAATAGAAATAGCATATATCTCATTTGAATATGCATAGCACAAAGTATAAAGGGGCCTCCATCCCTATCGTTCAGTTTGATGGTGGGAATACATGCCTTTCTGTTCTGTCCAAACTGATCCAAATACTGATCAACTAGTTATTACCAAGTATTTACTTTGTTCTTGGAATTTGCATATTTGTGTTGAAAGTCTGATGCCATCAATTAGGATTTTAAGGTAGTTGGTCCAGACAAAGGTACTAAAGAGATAATCAGTCCAGATTTGATTTAACATATATTTAACACCTATTTATTAATCATTTCCTATATACTACATATGTGAAGAAAGAAAATTAATGTTAGTGCAACCCAAAGTATTAGCTGTGGGTAAGAGATGGTTTTAGGTAACATGTTGAGGTAGTATTAAATGACAGTGGATCATACACTGGGCAAGCTCTTTTTACTTCTCTTCCAAACCTTCTGCTTATCATCAAAGAGAATATTCAATTTGATGCCCCCATATCTTTAGCTCTTCTCTAGACAAATTCTCTCCCTCTCTCTCTCTCTCTCTCTCATGAAAGTGAGGGGCATCAATCTAAGAGCTCAAGGTGGAGAACAATATTACAATTTAATAATATGATTTTACTTTGTCATTTTTATTTTTGGGCTTCCTCTCTTATTAGAGTAAGTGATTTTTTTTAAAAGATAAGTCGATTTAAGTGAAAAAGCAAAAAGTTCAAGTTGAAGGAACATTAACAATACATGTAATATACCGTTGCAGCAAAGCTGGTAGATGGTTACACAAATGCCTGGAGATGGTAAGCACTGGAAAGCTATATCCTATGTTCTTGGGCATCACCATTTAGATTATTTTTTTGTGGGGCAAACTTCTATTCCTGAATGTTACCTATATTATGCCGCTAATCTAAATACTCTGTTTTACAGTACTGGTTATATGGGGACAAAGATCATTGCCATCCTGTTAGTTTATTTTAAGGTTTATATGAAAAGACAAAATTAAGAAAAAAAAATTGAGAGCTAGTCGCTGCCTCTACTGCATTTTTCATCAAACGTGAGGGCTGAATGTGCCCCATGAACTTGTTCTACGATGCACAGCACTATGGTTGTGCGTTTTAAAACAGTGAGCTTTGTGTCTTGTTTGGTTATAAAATTACTAAGTCACCATACTTTGGGCACTTTCAGAGGGTAGATATGGCAACTTTGGATAGTACAGTATGGTACAGGTTAGATATACTACAGGTATGTATCATTTCAGGTTATGAATGTGCTTCTGAATCAGGAACTGGCAAAAAAAAATAAGCAGTTAACAAATCAGGTACTGATTGTGGTTTTCTGCTCCCCATAATCAGAAAGAATAGTGGCCTTTTGTTTGTTTATTACTATTATTTCTTTATTATGAAGAGAATGAATGGCAGAAATGAGAATCAAACTTGGAAACCATGATTCCTGGAGCATGGTTTTTTCACTCATAGCAACAGCATGAATACCTTCAGGCAAATGCCACAATCAGACTACAAGAAACAAGAGAAATCCTGGACTAACAGTTAGGAAACTAAGCTGTGTGACCTTTGGCAACTCGTTTAACTCGTTGGAGCCTCAATTTCCTCAGTTGTCAAATAGAAAAGTTAATATTTTCCTTGTTTGTCTTACAGATTTGCTGTGAGGCTTAAAGAAAATGCTGAAAGATCTATGAAATTCTGAACTGCCATGCAAATGTAAGGCATTGTTATCCTTATATATTACCTCTTTCACTCTTTTGTGATGTTGACATATTCTCTACCCTGCTCCTTAGCCCATGATCTTTCATATGTGTTCCTGTGTGTCTATGCTTCCTATTTCCTGATGGATGCAGAAGCTTGACAGGCTGCCATGAAGTCATTGGTATTTGGCAGAGAGCTCTCTCCTGTCCACATCTTTGCTGGGACTGCCTCCGAGGGACTCTGCTGGATTTACTGCCTTGGGCAGGGCTCCGTTAACATCATCTGTTCTCCTGTTGTCATGAAATAAGAGAAGCTAAAGTTCAAGACAGAGAAGAGTCAAGATCCCAGAGGAATTTGGTGAGCACTTCTTCCTTGCCCTGGACCCTGGTGACATATGGATAAAACTAGGGGTAACGGTAATTTGCAAAAAATTTCATTCAACTTTCCTGATCCAACTCAAATTTCATATTCCCTCTGAAGCCTTTTCTGATTCCCCCAGGCAGAAAAATAGATCCTAGATCTTGTGTTCTTATTGCACTTTGATAAAACCTCCATTATGACACACACTATGATATATTGTACCAATTTCATATTTTTAAGCTTCTCTTTTGCAGCTGATCTTCTAGAGAGAAGAAATCTGTCTTATTTATTTCTATCACCTCAGTACCTACTTTGCTGTATAATAAGTAGTCACATTTTGGGGGGAATAAAAGAGTGGGAAAGAAGGAAGAAAAGATTAAAGAGAGGGAAAGAAGGAGGGAGAAAGAAGAATAAGTGAATTTTCTTTATTCTCTGGAACGGATGATTTTGTTTGCAGCATCCCTAAATCTAGAGCTATAATTTAAACCTAGGTTTTAGCCCTAGAATATTTAGCAAGGATATATTATTTTCCTAGGTGGTAAGATAACTGTGATAACTTGGTCAAAATGTTTGTTTCTTCCTTAGAATCCATTTTGACTACAGGCTTTTTTCTTTACTTTTAATACCCCCCCAATTTTTTTCTTAAGTAAGTGCTGTGTATGTGACATGGTAAACATATATAAATGGTATTCTCAAAATGTTTTAATCAGTTTTGCTTTTGCCTATGAGATTATTTTTGTTTTCTAGCTCCAAAATGCCAAAAGAAAAAACGTAGTGCATTTTTTGAAAGTCTAGACAATTTTGCCTTTTGATTTGAGGTCTGGGCACTCATCTTATTCTTGTACTGCAATTAGAATCAAGCAAATCATTAAGCATGTCTAAGAGGACAACCTATGTGAATTTAAATAGCTTATATTTCTGGTTCACTTTTCCCAATTTTAAGCCACTGCACCACACGTAAAGAGGCCTATCAGGTCAAATGTTTACCTAACAAATTTCTTGCTATATTTTCTACTGAGATAATCCTATATGATTATAAAAGAAAAAAAGAAGGAAGGCAGAAAAAGAGGGAGGCAGGGAGAGAAGAAGAGAGGAAGAAAATGGGGAAGAAACTTTTTACTTAGATTTTTACAACATCTACAGTAAATGTTTTGGAGACAAGGCCATGATACTGGTAGAAAAACAATCAGAATGGAGAAAATCCTGCACAGATGTAAAAAAAAACTAAGAATATTTGTCTTTCTGCTGTGCTCTAAGAATCTTTAAGAAATAGCCCTATTTATTATTTTTTCTTTATTATACAGCATTCACTATCAGCGATCTCCATTGCATTTGATGTTTAAAAGTTGCTTATTTTCCTCTTGAGATTTTAGTACAGTCTCATTAGAAGTGATCTTATCAACACTGAGTGATGGTCTTCAGAAGAGAGCTAGCATTGTATAAATACTGATATTTCATTGAGATCAGAAACCATGTATTTTTCAGCTTTTTATCTTAGGGCTTCGTAAAGTGGCTGGTATGTAGGAGACATAAAAAAGTATTTGAAGAAAATGCATAAATGATTGAATGACATATGAATGAAAAAATCAAATTTAAAACAAAACAAAACAATAGCCTAAGTATTTAATTTAGTTGGGAATCACAAATGTTTACTGTGTGCCTGTCATGGTTTACACACTGAATTCAACACTGTAAATTATATAAAATTGGTAAGTTTCTGATCTTCAAATAACAGTTTTACTATCAGTCACATATTCTATCATGACAGAATCAGCATCAGTTTTGGCTTAATTGTTATAATTGTGACATTATGCATTGGTTACTAAGAATGCCATGATTACCCTCACTAACTAGTTTTCTGACTTTTATCCAGTTTGCAGAAACTCATAGAGGAAAAAATCTTCATGTGATGTGTAAAACTTTGTACCAGGACAATTTAACATTCTTTCATTGTTACTAGCAGAGTTTCATATGTTTAGGCTTATCTTTTGCAACTGGCCCTATGGAGCCTGAAGTAATTTCATTTTAGTTTGAAAATAGTTCAATTTTTAGTCCCTGACTGGTGAGGAACCAGATATCAAGGTGCACAATCAGGATAATGAGCCAAGTTGAAAGTAACATTCAAGCTTTCATTCACTTAACTGTGACAGAGCAAGCAAGAGGCAAAAAGTAGCCCTGGCTCCTCGGTGTTCCATTTCTTTTTTTGTTTTTTTTTTGCTTTTTTTTTGCGGTACGTGGGCCTCTCACCACCACGGCCTCTCCCGTCACCGATCACAGGCTCCAGATGCGCAGGCCCAGCGGCCATGGCTCATGGGCCCAGCCGCTCCGCGGCACACAGGATCCTCCCGGACTGGGGCACGAACCCGCGTCCCCTGCATCGGCAGGCGGACTCCCAACCACTGCGCCACCAGGGAAGCCCTTCCATTTTTTTCTGTGGAATGCACCAGGCAAGTCAGGTGGATTAGCACAGGCAGGGGAATCTTCTTACTGTGGAGGAGCCTGGACAGAAGGTCACTGCCTTTTTATAGACCTGTGTGCGTGGTAGTGGCAGGGGGTGCTGGTAAGGGATGGGAACGGAAAGGTACTAAGTTAAGTGGAGAAAAGTACCTCCGCCAAGGCCCTCAATAAGGAAGTCTCTGAACTGAATGGAGGCGCCTGAATTAGGAGTACAGATATGTATATGAGCATGTCTGGCTGGCCCAGGGATGGGGGGGCTTGAGTCCTTGACTATAACTCCCTCCAGGACTGCAATGCACAGGCTATGCACCAAGTCTGGTGTGGGGAAGGCAGCTTCCTCCCACGAGGCCTGCAAGGAAAAGCTTTGTAATTGCATATGGTTGGGCCAGAAAGATCACACATAGGATTTGGCCTGGCACCAGCTCCTCACTTCCCCACCATCTTCCCTCTGCTCTTCAGCACTGGGGAAGCATCCACACTAGCTCCCTCCTGGTAGTGTCACTCTGCCTGGAATTCTACAGCATCTGGCTCAAAAATATCATTCCTTTCAATGCATTTGCTATCTTTCAGACACTTGATCTCATGGTCAATTACCCTCTGACTCTATTAATCTTCATTTCCACTTCTAATCAGCCATGTGCCACAAATAACAGAATAAAGTGCTATCCCTGAGTTCCCTCGGTACTGTCCAAAATTAAACCATCCTCACCTGTCGTCTCTTGCATTGCTTCCTCTCAAGCACAAAAATTGTTTTCCGTGCATATTGATATTTTAGAATATTGTTTTCCTAAAGTATTAAATGAGTCCCCTTATGGCCAAATGGTATTTTTTGTTGCCAACCCAGCTACCTGAGTTATTTTATTATTCTACTGTCGACATCTTCTCTCGCCCTGACCCACCCCTCTCTTTGCATTCCAGTACCGAGCCCGACATTATCCTCACATTCTACTTTCTCTGCTCTGTTCCTGCTTCCATACTACAGTGTTTGCTGGAGCCATAAAGCTTGGCTTACCAGAGGTTTGCTCTGTCCAACTACAACTTGGCCGTGGATATTTGCTTGGCAACTGTCTGTTCATCCCTCATTGGATTTCTGGCTCCCTCTCTTCAGTGGCATATCCAGCCTTTAGACTTCTATCACTTTTCTTTCCCTCACCTCTCCTTATAGCTGTCAACTTTCTTTTTCCTTCAGTGAGATGTGAGCTCACCATCTACATCCTTAGTACCCCTTGTATATTGTATATCCTTTATAATTCCCCTGTAAGAGAAAAACCGCAATAATGTAGTATAGCATAATGGTAAAGAACATGGAAGAAAATATAAGACACTATAATTCACATCTAAATTAAAATCTAATATGATGAAGTAACAGGATCTGGACTTCTACTCAAGTAAAAAACAACCTTGAAAAAGACCAAAAAAAAAAAAAAAAGAGAGAGAGACAACTATATGGAAAAATTGTTTTTAATACACTGGAATTAAGTTACAAAAGATTACCCATGAAAGACAAGAAACAAATGAGATAAGCCCTATGATTTCCTAAGCTTAGTGCCTTGAGAGAGTTTCAGGCTCCAGCTGAGGGAGAGAGAATTCGGGTAAAAACCAGCTGACTCTCTGAGTTGAAAAGATGAGTAGTTAGTTCAAGAAAACCAACAGGCTTGACAGAGTACCAGAGAGCTGCATGAAGAAAAATCCTTGAAATTTACAGAAGATCCCTCTCAAGTATTCAATCATGAAGTGATCAGTACATGCATGTGAAAAAACAACTTGAGGCTGGAGAAAAAAGGGAACATTGCCTCTATACTCATGCAGGGCTGGGAATAGTACCTCTTTCCACCAGCCTAAATGGAAAAACTTACAGGGCATTGGTAGAGAAGTCAAGAAGGTCTTTCTTTAATAGTGGGGAATAATTAACAAAATATAAAGGGAAGATTCAAAAGAATCAAATTGTTTTTAAGTAACTAAGCTATATTTCACAATAAAGCTCAAAGATGTTTATGAGGACAAAGATATATGGCACATAAAAAGGTAAAATTCACAATGTATGCACCCAATCAAATATTATCAGGTATGAAAGAAAGCAAGAAAACATGACCCACAATGAGAATAATAAAAAATTGAAATGAACCCAAAATAGACACAGATATTAGAATTAGTAGACAAAGAATGCTAAGATAATTATTATAACTATACTCCATATGTTTAAAAAGTTAAGTAGAGACATGGAAGATATAAAAAAGACCAAAGTCAAAAGAATGCCAAAGTAAATGAAAAGAGCATCAGTGGGCTGTTGGGACAACTTCAAGCAGCACAATATGCAAATGCAGAGTTCCTAAAGCGAAGAGAAGGGAGGTAAGTCTACAGATCCAAGCTCAATGAATCTCCAAAACAAGAACCGTGAGGAAAACTAAACCAAGGCATATCATGATCAAATTCCTCAAAACTTGCAATGACAAGAAAATTGTAAGATCAGCCAGAGGAAAAAAAGACACATTTCATACCAAGGAACAAATTTAAGGATGACAGCAGATTTCTCCTTGAAAAT